TGATTTTTCAAACGTCAAGCCAACCATGTACTCATAGAATAAGTGGATTACCCACTTATCCATATGTGTTACTCATCTTTTATATATCACTGGATTTGATTTGCTAATATTTTATTGAAGATTTTTACCTGTGTTCATGAAAGATGTTGGCTGATAATTTTCCTTCTTGTAACGGTCTTACTAGGTTTTGGCATCAAGGTTATGCTGACCTGTTAAGAGTTGGGAAGTGTTCCCTCTTTTTTTATTCCCCAGGGCTCCAGAAGATTTCATGTAAGATTGGTGTTATTTCTTCCTTCTGTTTTCAGAAGAGGTCACTAGTGGAGCCGTCTGGGCATGAAGTTTCCTTTGTGGGAAGGTTTTCAATAACAAATCCAATTTATCTAACAGATACGAAACTATTCAGATCTTCTGTTTCTTCTATTCAATTTTGAGAAGTTGTGACAGTTGAAAATTTTCTCTATTTCACCTAAGTTGTCAAATATATTGACATAAAGTTGTTCATAATATTCCCTTATCATCACTTAGTGCCCATTTAAAAAAAAAAAAAAAAGCCCCCGTTGTCATCAAGTTGATTCGAGTTACAGCGAACCTATTGGACAGAATAGAACTGCCCCACAGGGTTTCCAAGGAGCAGCTGGTGGATTCAAACTGCTGACCTTTTGGTCTTAACCACGGTGCCACCAGGGCTCCCTTACTACCCAGAGGATCTTTTATTCCTGATACTGGTCATCCGTGTTTCTTTCTTTTTTAATCTTGATCAGTCTTGCTGTGAGTTTGTCATTTTTAATCGTATTTTCAAATAATGGACTTTTGGCTTTGTCTTTACTGCGTGTTTGTTTTTCTCATCAATAATTTCGGATTTTTATTATTTTCATCCTACTTCCTTTTGGTTTGCTTTGCAGTTCGTTTTCTAACTTCTTGAGATGGAAGCTTAGATCATGACAGGGGGTGGTTGGTTTGGTTTGGATTTAGCCTCTTTTCTTTCCTAACCTAGGCATTCAGGAAAGAACTAATTCAGCTGAACCCCACACATTTTGATATGTTGACTCTTCATTACCCTTCAGTTTAAAAAATTTTCTAAGTTCGTTGTCATCTTTTTTTGACCCATGGGTTATTTGAATGCGCATTTTTAATTTTCAGCAGTTGGGGCTTTTTTGTTTTGATTTATCTCTTCATTCTGCTGTGGTCAGAGAACATATCCTCTGAATTTTGTCGAGGCCTTCTTTATGGCCCAGCATTTGGTCAATTTTGTCTTACGTTCCATATGCACTTAAAAATAGTGTAGATCGTGGGGTCGTTAA